CACTCCTTATCCTTCATACTGTATTCCAGTTGATGGCTAGTTCTTATTTTTATTTCTTGTTCATTGGATTATGCTAAATCATACTTTGGCAACATTCCAAAGAAGAGGTGAGTTTTCAGCCTGTTGTAGACCCACTGGTTTCTTGCCACCTTGATTTTTCTTCCTCTCATGCCAGGAACTTCTATTGACTTTCCCTGTAACCTATCCCCAATTAACATAAAAAAATTGCAACAAAACCTTGCCCCTCCCTCCTATCAGCTTTCCTGTGGTCTCCCTTTTCTAGAAGGATGGCTGTAGAACATTGGTGTTATCACCTCTGTTTTGAAAAAAAAAAAAAGCCTGCAATAAATGATGCATATGGTTTTGTGGGTTTAATAACTCTTAACACTATTATTATAGGTAGTATGTTCTTCTCTTGGTTATCTACTTTATTTATAACCTCCATAGCTAGTTAGTTACCCATGAACAAACTCATTTGTCCTCATCATTTTATGTTTGATGAACACAGTTAAAAAAAAAAAAAAAACAGAGAGCAAGAAAAAAAAAGAGAGATATATACTTGGTAACTCCATTCTGTTGCTCTCTAGAGTAATAATCATTTTTTCTGATCTTTACATTTTCTTTGAGGATGCTTCAGGGAATGGTTTCTGCATTCATCAATCAATGAATTGAAAAGCATGGGAACCTAAACTATGCACAAAATTGTTCTAGAATTTATGGCACTTTGAGCAATAAAAATTGCCTTGTCTACGGTGGAAAATATTATCTCTGGAAACTCAAGACCAACATAGCTGACATATTTTAAGAGTAGCCCAGAGTGGATATATTTAAGTCTTATAAAGTGTTTTTTTCAAAATATCTCTTCTAATGTATAGAGAAATATCAGTGATTTGTGAGCCTTTAAATTATATGGCCATATTCTGGTAAAGCCTTAAGGTTTCAGTATTCATAGTCCACCACTAAAGAGAAATAAAGTAGAGAAGCAGAAAACAGTTTTCCAAAGTATTAAAATATGCATGCACCAGAAAATGTTTTGGTGCAAACTTTACAAAGTGGTGAGTGATTTCCATTGGGGAGTTTTAATTGCAGTTTTCCCAGCACGAGGCATAGCTGTGAGACGACTGGTTTGGGCGACTCGGGAGGTAACCAGTCTATCTCAGACCAAATCTTCTATATGATCTTTGAATGCAGAAAAGTGTGGTCTAGAAATTCTCTGAAGTGATTAAACCTCAGGAGGCAAGGCAGGGAAAGCAGGCGCGTCTGCAGTTCTCCCGGAGAACTCGAGCGCCCTCTAGGTTGCAGTTCCAAGAGCAGTTTGGCGAGGCACTTCAGGCCACTTTGCCACCAGGGAGGAAGAAGGAAGGGGCCGGATTGCTCCCGGTAGGAGAACTATCTGACCCAGAGAAAGAGACTGGCGACAGGAAGGAAGAACAGAACAAGCGTTTGAATAGCAACCACAGGCGACCCAGAGACTGCGCGGTGCTACCCGGCGCGCGTCACACACAGTGCCCTGCCTCCCCGCCCCGCTCACCGCCGTGTGTCACCTTCCTGTTCGGAAGCTTTAGTAGGTTGCTGGGACAGAACAGGGGGCGCCTGCTCCACCCATCAGGTATCCGGTTGGAAGAAAGGCCAGTCTCAACAACTTGATTCTCTCGGGTTAAATGATAAGTTTAGCTGGCCATTCCGTCTCCAAGCGCTGAACGTTCGGGTAGAGGGAGGCAGAAGCCCATCAGACATTCCTCTTCTGCTTTAACCACAAATCATATGGTTGTGTGTCTTCTCCATTCCACTGAGAGCCCTCTCACTCGAATTCCACGTCCCTCCTGGAACGCATGCCGCCAATCTCAGAGAGAATGAACCCTGTGCATATGTTTTGAATTTTTTTCTGCACTGATTTGTGATGTTAATCAGTTAAGTTACATTTCTTGTGTGTCTTAGTGAGGGTGTAATAAACCTAGGACGCTGATGACTGTAATTTGCTGGATGATGTTGCAAGGGGGGGGGGGGGTTGTGGAATAAATGGCCCAGTGATGAACTTTGCAGCTTGCTCCCTTCCTGTATGTAAATTCCCTAGATATAAAGTGGGGTTCGCAGCAGAACCGGGACAGCTGGCCTCTGGCTCAGCCTCCCTTATCATCTCAGAGACAGAAGCAGGGAGGCAAGTCCCACCACAAGTGAGCTTTACTACCTCCAGCCTCCAGAAATCAGTCCTCCACCTTATATCCTGGGCAGCTTGAAGAATGAAAGAGGAGGCTATCAAATCCCCTTTGAAAGGTTAGTGCTTTCCGAACTCTGATTTGGATGGAGCCGGTAACACAAGGCTGCCCAGAGGTTTTGAAATTACTGGGCATGGGCCAGGCACCTGTGAGGAGCAGGGAGGGGGGGAAGGGCGGGGATTTTGATTTCTTAATTTAGTGTTTTAAAACAAAAGGCAAGACTCTTCGGGCAGATTGATGTTTGTAGGCAGTCTGAGTGATGTTTGCTGTCTTGTCAAGGCAAGACTTGGCGAGGAACAGGTGGGAACAGGACCGGGCTGGGTTGGTTGACTGGCAGAACATGGGCCAGGGGTACAATGGCAATAGCTGGTATTCTGGGAATACCAGAGGAAGCAGACACGGGCCAATTACTATGATATGGAATTACCCAAACCTTGCTTTAAGTTGGAGCCCGTGCTGTGTTAAGAGAGCAGCACTAAGCAAACTTCATCAACCAGTCTCCAAGAGAGAGAAGGATGCATGCTCTCTTCTCCCGAGCTGGGGCTGTTGCGACCGAAAAACCCAAGCAGGATACCAGACTAGATCATTTTAGGGCAAACGAGGTGGCTGTGCCTGCACAACAAATCCTTGCCCAAGACCAAGGGAAAAAGCGCCTCGCAGGCTATTCCTGGGTCGACAGCTGGTGTTTGGGAGTGTGGAGGCTCCAGTAGGCAAACTCTAAAATGGCAGGGCAGCGAGGGGTCAGGGCAGGGCAACCACCGCAGACGGCAGCGGCGAGCGCCAGGTACCCGGCCCAGCGAAGAGGGGGAACTTGCAGCCGTCTCTGCCGCTCCCGGCCAGGTCTGAGCCTGAGACACCCCCCGGGCCAGCGCTGGCGCGCGTCCCCGCGCCCGCGGTTGGGCTGCAGCGCCCCGGCGGCTCCCAGCGACCGGGTTACTGGAAGGCAGCGGCCTCTCCGCCTGCACAGCCCGGCCGCCGCGGGCAGCCTCCAGCCCCGGTCCGCGCGCCGGAGCGCCGTCACCGGCTCGTCCCTGTGGGGGTGCAGGAGACGCCACTTTGCGGGAAACAGCCCAACTCAGCCGACTCTGCGGGCGGCAGGGACGAGGAGGGCAAACGAAGGGATTCTAAGACAGGGTGGTGTTGACCTTGCGGAGTTCTGAGGCGGCAGAGCAGCGGGCGCGGGCCGGGCGCCGCCGCCGCCCTCTGCCGCCCGGGTCACGCCAGGTCCGCGCCGCCGCCGCCGCCGCCCTCACCGGCCTCCTCACGTGTTCTCGGCGTGGCGCGGATTAAAATGCAAGGGGGAAAAAAAGTGCACGCAAAACGGACAGAATGTTCTCTAGAGATTACAAAAGGGGTGGGGGGGCTGCAGATTGCACTTTGTCTTCAATGCAGAGCCGAATTTTGCTTCCGCCCCCTCCCCTACACATTCCTGACTCCCCTCCCCCCCCTTTTCCCTCCTTCTTTCCTTCCTTCCTCCTCTTCCAAGTTCTGGGATTTTTTTTTTTCCAGCCTTGCTTGGTTTTGGCCAAAAGCACAAAAAAGGCGTTTTCGGAAGCGGCTCGGCCGTGCACAAGGGCCATTTGTTTGTTTTGGGACCCGGGCAGGAAATCTTGCCCGGCCTGAGTCACGGCGGCTCCTTCAAGGAAACGTCAGTGCTCTCCGGTCGCTCTCGCCCGCCGCCCGCTGCCCATGGGGGAGATGCAGGGAGCGCTGGCCAGGGCCCGGCTCGAGTCCTTGCTCCGGCCCCGCCACAAAAAGAGGGCCGAGGCGCAGAAAAGGAGCGAGTCTTTCCTGCTGAGCGGACTGGGTAAGCGCGCCTCGGCCCCCGCGGGGACTTGGCTCCTCCGGTGCGCGCGGGCGCATGGCTCCGGCCCGGTTCTCGGGCTCGGGAGAAGGGGTGGGGGGGTGGACGGAGAGCGGCGTGACCGGGCGGCGGGAGCGGGGAGGACCGGCCCGGGAGCTCCGGCCCCGCGCTGACCCTGCAGATGAGGGCGCGCTGAGACGCCTGCGCCGGAGAGAACTCCCGGGCGGTCGCACGCTCCGCCCGGCCTCGGCGGGGAGGAAGCCGGGGGGCGCCGGGGCGGGGGGTCCCGGGCTATCTATCGCCGAGAGAGTGCAACTGCGGGGGAGGGTGTGGGCTCGCGCAGGGCCGCCGGCCCGCCGGGCTGCGTCCGGAAGGCAGCTCGGCGCTGCTACCCTGACTTCCTCGCCGAACGGAATAAATGAGAAAAATGGAAAATTACTCCGCATCCTTTCCCGCCACCTCCGCCCGCGCCCCGGGGCGCCGAACACTGGCGAAACTGCCCTCCCCGGGCGGCTCCCGGGTCCCCCACCTCCGCCCGCGGCTCGCCCTCAGGCTGGGGACAGAACCGCCCGCCGCGGGCTGCCGTCCCGCCGGGACGCGGCGCGGCGGCCGGGGGCGGGGCCTGCGCTGGGGGGCGGGGCCGCGCCGCTCCTTTGTCGCCGGTCGGGCCCCGCCCCTGCCGGCGCGGCCTTTATAAAGCCGGGCGCGCGGCCCGAGCGCAGAGTTGGCTGAGCCGGTCTCTCATTCCCAACGACTCGCTGTGGTCTCACCGTGGCGATGACCGTGAAAACCGAGGCTGCTAGGGGCCCCCTCACTTACTCCAGGATGAGGGGCATGGTGGCCATCCTCATCGGTGAGTGCAGGAGTCAGGCCGCCGCGCGGTGCGAGTTTTCGGAAGGTCGCGGATCACGGAGTGTGTGTGGCGGCGGACGTTACGAAGCCATCTGAGCATTCGTTTATTTCTCCTCTTTCATTCACAGCGTTCATGAAGCAGAGGAGGATGGGCCTGAACGACTTTATTCAGAAGATCGCTAATAATTCCTATGCGTGCAAGCAGTAAGTTCGGGTGGGATTGCGGGAATTAAAGTCAGTAGCGCCGGCAGGGTAGCAGAGTCGTCTCCCCTCGCTGGGTTACGTCGGGGTGGAGATCTCATTTCTCCTCAAATCCTGGTTTACTTGAGACGTTTTTAACACGGAGACGGGCTTGCCTCCTTGTCGCCCGCCCTCCGCGTGAAAAACCACCTCAATTTCTGTACACAGCTGGGCTCACTGTTGGCTTCAAAGGGCCCAGTAGATGATTTTGGGTGTTTGCAGTTGAAGTCCTGGATTCTCCGGGGAAACTTCGAGCCAGAAGCTCAACTGGTGGTGTTGCTGTGCCCCCTAGTGGGGCGCGAGGAGGCTCCAACGTGTGTGTGTTTTTTTTTCCTCTGCAGCACTGAAGTTCAGTCCATTTTGAAAATCTCCCAACCTCAGGAGCCCGAGCTTATGAACGCCAACCCTTCGCCTCCGGTAAGTATCATTCCGTTTGTGAAGCATCTATGGGGGAGAATTGTTAAGTGAGTCACCTAGTATCCCTGCATTGATGGATTAAAATAGCATTTCTGGAAATTAGTATGAAGGCAGGAATGTCTCATTAGTTAAGGACATAACAGGTGACATAACTAGTTAAGTATTGAGTCAGTGGAGTATTGTCTGAAGGCATATTTCATAAAAGTTTTATCCGTTTAATCTCCATACTCACTTGAAATAATGACATGGTGTGGTTGAAAAATAGTTTTGAGTGCGTTGATAGACGTATGGGACTTGCATCCAGCTTTTATGCTTTATTGTGGACGTCTGCCTTTGAAAGCGGTGACACTAAAGGAGAATGTTTTATTTTTCAGCCAAGTCCGTCTCAACAAATCAACCTTGGCCCATCATCAAACCCTCATGCTAAACCATCAGACTTTCACTTCCTAAAAGTGATTGGAAAGGGCAGTTTTGGAAAGGTAATTTCAGATCCGGAGACCTTTGTATATACTCTCGTATGTGTTCATTTTACACTCTCCCTGGATGAGGACCCAAAAATGATGATTTTTTTTTTCTTATTGCAATTTCAGGTTCTACTAGCAAGACACAAAGCAGAGGAAGCCTTCTATGCAGTCAAGGTGTTGCAGAAAAAAGCAATCCTGAAAAAGAAGGAGGTAGGAGAAGGGGCTGGTGGGTTGGAGCTGTGAGTGGACGCTCACTGAATCAGCTTTGCCTTGGGAGTGGGTGCCAAGTTGAAGTTTGTCGCTCAGTCTGGGTTGTCATCCTCCTAGGAGAAGCATATTATGTCTGAGCGGAACGTGCTGCTGAAAAATGTGAAACACCCTTTCCTGGTGGGCCTGCACTTCTCCTTCCAGACGGCCGACAAGCTGTACTTTGTCCTAGACTACATTAACGGTGGAGAGGTGAGCGAGTGGGGGAGCAGGGGCCGGTCTCTGCACAGCCTGCTTGGTTTTTTAGTCTAAAAAGGAAGTTTTCGAAGGTCTTTAGGGGGTAAAAGTTCCCGGGCTTCAAATAGTTAATAGATTACCTAGGGCTACTTCCTGCGATTGTTTTCGTTAGCTATATATGTCACTAGTGAAGTGTTTTGGCAGCCCAGACTAACTTTGTCCTGTCTCCTGCAGTTGTTCTACCATCTCCAGAGGGAGCGCTGCTTCCTGGAACCACGGGCTCGTTTCTATGCTGCTGAGATAGCCAGTGCCTTGGGTTACCTGCACTCTCTGAACATCGTTTATAGGTGAGCCAAAGAGCCCTGGTAGCCCTCCTGCTTGAGGGAGCCTTAAGATTGTGTGAGTGAGTGTGTGTGCGTGCACCTGGTCCCCTAAAACCAGATCCCCCAGCACGTGAGCTGCCTTGACTCCATGCCACTAGGGAACTGGCCAACTGGGATTGTCCCTAATCCAGACTAGATCAGCAGAACAAGGACTCCCTTTTTTTATTCACTGCACAACTGCAGTGAATTTAAAATACCTAATGCCCTTAGCAGTTAGCTTCACAGAGGACTTGTTATGAACTGAAATTAACATCAGCAACTACTCCTCTGTTCATTTTTTACAGAGACTTGAAGCCGGAGAATATTCTACTAGATTCACAGGGACACATCGTCCTGACTGACTTTGGGCTGTGCAAGGAGAACATTGAACACAACGGCACGACGTCCACCTTCTGCGGCACACCCGAGGTAGGCGCTCGCTTGCTCAGTCCGTCCAGGAGAGACTAGTGCCACAGTGCTTCTAACTTCCTGAACTCTTCAGAAATGTGCTTAGTACAGCTCAGTGAGAGCAAATTACATTCATGGCTTGGTGCATGCAGCGTGAGAAATTCTAAGACATCCTGTTGCTGTCATTGAAATGACCTATCTGTAGGAGCCACATCATAAAAGGGTTTCTAAACCCCCAAGGATGATAACTGTTGGCTACCCAGTAGCTTCCTAAACAGAGGCACCCAGAGGTGGCCGGTTAGCCTCAGAAAGGATAGCGGTTTTGTTGGGCAGTAATCTGAAGGAATATGTCCCGAGTTGCCTCTGGGTCTGCCCTTGCAGAGTACATGTCTGCTCTTGGGATTGCCCGGTCTTGCAGGTTCTAAGCTCTGTTTTCCTGTTGTGTTTTTCAGTATCTTGCACCTGAGGTGCTTCATAAGCAGCCTTATGACAGGACGGTGGACTGGTGGTGCCTGGGGGCCGTCTTGTATGAGATGCTGTATGGCCTGGTGAGTAGCACACAGGGAACCACGGGTACTGCCTCTACCTCAGTGATATGCCCTAGAACATTCTGCCACCCCCGCTTAACCCACACACGGGAGGACATGCAGGCCTGGCATTGGTCTTGCCCTTGTCTATAAGGTTTAGCTATCAAGAGCTAATAGGAGAAGCATATTGATTATTTTATGAGAGTAATCTCCTACCTACTGGATTTTTCTCTTGTCCATTTCACATTGTACTACACAGGACAACATTTAAGCTGGGTGATGGTGAAAACCATGGCTTATCGCACCCACCCCTTCCCTATAAGGGTTGCAAAACAGACACTTAAAAATCAAGGGCAACTCACTATCCACTCTGCCTGTAGGAAAAAAAAAAAAATCAAGGGCAAAAGAAAACGTCCTTTCTCCAATCCAGCCTGCTGCTAGTTTAGTTTCAGTCTTTCTTCGCTGATAGGCTGTGACACAGAACTTCCAGTTAAGTGAGTGCCCTCCCTCGCTCTTTCAGCCTCCGTTTTATAGCCGAAACACAGCTGAGATGTACGACAACATTCTGAACAAGCCTCTCCAGCTGAAACCAAATATAACAAATTCTGCAAGACACCTCCTAGAGGGCCTCCTGCAGAAGGACAGGACAAAGAGACTCGGGGCCAAGGATGACTTTGTGAGTGACAGTGACTGCCCTCCCTCCCCCACCTCGGCCCTCCGGGAAGCACGCGGGGCCTCCCTGCCTTCACCTGAGTTCCACCCGTCTGAACTAATCATGGGCTTCTTCCCAACAGATGGAGATTAGGAATCACGTCTTCTTCTCTCTAATTAACTGGGACGATCTCATTAATAAGAAGATTACGCCTCCTTTTAACCCAAATGTTGTGAGTATCTCTCTCTCGCCTAACTATTCTGAGGCCCAGAGGGCCTTTCTTCTAAGAACTGTTGGATGGTGAGGGGAGGGGACTTCAAGGAAGAAATTGCCAGTACTTTATTCATAGACCCATCATTTTCCCAAAGAAAAAGTAGAGTATTTTTTTTTGTCCTGCCAAAGTTATGGTCACTGTTTCAAACATTTGTCAATGAAAGTCCCCAAAGACAAAAGGTGACCATCCCCCTCATCAGTTAAACTCCTGTGGCCTTAGGGTCTGGTGCATGGGATGGATAGTGGGAGCGGGTTTCTGTGAGCGTGTCCTGAAGACTTGAGCTCCACTGTCAACAGCCGCAGTCAGGATTTCCCTGTCACATACGCAGTGTGTGTGTGTGTGAGTGTGACACAGAGTGTTTTCCTTCCTATTGCAGAGTGGCCCCAGCGACCTGCGGCACTTTGATCCCGAGTTTACCGAAGAGCCTGTCCCCAGCTCCATCGGCAGGTCCCCTGACAGCATCCTCATCACGGCCAGCGTCAAGGAAGCGGCCGAGGCCTTCCTCGGCTTCTCCTACGCGCCACCCATGGACTCCTTCCTCTGAACGGTCTGAGGGTCGGTTTTGAAGGATTGCCTGTGCGTCTTTTAAATATTTTAGTTAGCCTTTCGGCGGAGCTGCCAGCTGACAGGCCATCTCGGAAGAGAATCTGCACCTCCTGGAAGCTTGGCAATCTTGCACACTGCTTGCTGGACGCTTTTCGAAGAGCACATTCTCCTCCTAGTGAGCTCATGAGGTTTTCCCTTTCTCTTCTTCCTTCCAACGTGGTGCTATCTCTGAAATGAGCGCAAGAGGGCTGCCTTAGAGGCCAGAGCCGTGTCAGGAGGAGGAGGGCCCTGCTCCGGGAAGGATCTTCCACCGCTCGGTCTGGGCTGTGATGACGCATACTATGAAATGTGCCTTTTCTGATGAGATCGTGTTAGCTCCAAAGCTTTTCCTACCGCAGAGCGTTTCCGTTCTTTATTTTCCCTCGTGGATCTCCCGTGTGAAGAGTGGTGTGAGTGTGGTATGCTTGATCCCAGATGGATTTTGTTATAAGCATCAATGTGACACTTGCAGGACACTACAATGTGGGACATTGTTTGTTTCTTCCATATTTGGAAGATAAATTTATGTGTAGACTGTTTTTTTTTTTGTAAGATATAGTTAATAACTAAAATTTCTTGAAATGGTCTTGCAATGACTTGTATCCAGATGCTTAAAGAAAGCATTGCTGCTACAAATATTTCTATTTTTAGAAAGGGTTTTTATGGACCAATGCCCCAGTTGTCAGTCAAAGCCGTTGGTGTTTTCATTGTTTAAAATGTCACCTGTAAAATGGGCATTATTTATGTTGTGGTTTTGTTTTTGTTTTTTTTTTTTTTGCATTCCTGATAATTGTATGTATTGTATAAAGAAAGTCTGTACATTGGGTTATAACACTAGTATATTTAAACTTACAGGCTTATTTGTAATGTAAACCACCATTTTAATGTACTGTAATTAACATGGTTATAATATGTACAAACCTCCTCTCCTCCACACAACTTTTCTTGTGTGTGATAAACCAATTTTGGTTTGCAATAAAACCTTGAAAAATATTTACATAAGTTGTATGTCATGTGTTTTGTATTTTTGGCTTGGTGGGCGGCAAAATAGGTCAGTTTAAAATTGAAAACCTTTAAAATGCTGTAATTTCCAGCTTGATGGCTTGCTTTCTGTAGCAAGGGTTCTGACTCCAGGGGAGTATGGGATGGTCCTAGGCCAACCTATTTTCCAGGTATTTTTAGCAGCATTTGATGATATCATTCATAAATCTACTCACATCATTTTTAATTTGCTCATCTTGCAAGAACAGCTACTCAGTAATGTTCCTTGTATTTATGGGCTGACTTGTGAAGTCAGACTGTTTGTCCTGACATTTGGTAACAGCTAATTCTTTCAGCAAATATTTGTGAGTCTCCTCTGGGCCAGGCTGTGTTCTCAGTGTTGGGGATATGACAGTGAACAAAGAAGATAAACCAGTGACCTGGCTGAGCTTGATGGAAAAGGCAGACTCCCAGAATAAAGCAATTTTTGAGATAGAAATCAAGACACTAGTCTGAAGTTTAGGAGAAGGTAAGGTTGTAAATAAATGCGTACGTTTGTGAAGAGCTGACCTGGTTGGACTCATGATTTCCAGGAGGACCCAGAGTCATAACCTGAGTCCAGAGCAGGCTCAGAAAAGGAGCCCCGAAATGCACGTCCCTGGCAGGGACCAAAGCCTCAGAGCTAGTGAGTGGCAGCACTGCAAGTGCCCAGCAGGCCCGGGGCCAACCTGCAGAGTCCACCTTGGAGTTCATCCCACTGGAATCTGTACTGTTGGAGAAAGCAACGTGGCATGATACCAGGAGGTCATCATTGTGAATCCAGACCACACTTTCTCTGCTTTCTAGGCCCTTCACACAATGTCTAGCTTATAATCCAGAGTCCCCAGACAGCTGATTCTGCCTGCTTTAGCCTGGCTCACATGCTCTAACCTGCTGAGTTCCCTCTCCCTGCTCAGGGCTTTTCCCAATGAAATGCAAATGTGTTTCCTCCTACTGTGGTTCTAGGGTCTTGCTTCACCCTACCTCACTCCCCATCCCCACTCCCCAGGTTTCTAAGGGCTGGTCAGATGTTTGGAGGTCACTTGGTCCTTCTTAAACCAGTGAAGGAATGGGGGATGAAAGCAAGTCAAAGACTTCTTCACCAGGGTGGGCAGTGGATCAAGCTCTGCTCTTGAATAGGCAGGCATGAGCTACCTGTTAAATTCCCTGCCAATGGGCCAGGCACTTAGCACAGCAGTTAACACATCTCTTGGGATGGCTACAATCCATATGGGCATGCCTGGGTTCAAGTCCCAGCTCTGTTCCTGTGTATTCCTGTGCATGTTTACCCTAGGAGACAGTAAATGATAACTCAAGTACTTGGGTCTCTGCCACCCACGTGGCAGACCCTGATTCAGTTCTTAACTCCTGGTTTCAGCCTGGCCCAATCCCAGGTGTTGCTGGTATTTGGGAAGTGAACCAGCAGTTGGAAAATCTCTCACTACTCTCCCCCTGACTTTCAAATAAAATGAAAATAAACTTAAAAAAAAAAATTTAAATCCCCTACCAAACCCAAGTGATAATAGAACCCAAATCATGTATTTTCCTTGTAAAAATGCCTGCTCTGATAAGGAGGGATTTTTTGCATATTTCCTCCCTCCTTCTCATCGTCATTAACAGTTATGAATTCATCCTCAAACAAAAAGTACTGAAATCAGATTTTTGTCTGAACACAGTGCCTGTAACCTACAGTGTAATTCCAGATAACACAGAAGGGCCAGTTGTGGATTACAACTGTTTCTTTTTTAAAGGCAGAAAATTGGTTGATTGGGTTGGGGTCAATCACTTCCTGAGATCTGATTTGCATGTCTCCAGAACTGAATGGTGCTAGAGGAGTCACAAGTATTGTCACACAAATAAGAGATTAGATCAGGTGCAAGTGGGTGGAAAGAGAACAGGGCAAGAACAGGGAAGTTAAGAGAGAACAAGTGATCAATAAACAAATGACAAATATTTGCTAAGCCCTGTGATGTCAAATAACATGCCTGCAGAGGTATCTTTTATCCAAAGGAAGGGACATAATCCTATCAACATAGTCCCTGAGGTGAGGCCCTCCCAGCCCAATTTGGAGCAAAATTGCAAAGGACAGCTTGTCTTCTCCACACCGCTGTAGCTTTGAGTCTGTTCAAATATGAGTTTGGGGGGGTACTTATTCAGCTAGGATTCCCGTAAGTTTAAAATGTGACTCTAACACCACTGCTATCAAAGAATAGGTCGATCAGGTCCTTAGGGAATTGGTTAGCTTTTTAGGGAAGACCATGCTACACGACAGACAGTGAGTGAACGGGGGATGAGGAGAAGCTTCTGAGGTCTAGAAGCTCCTTGTGAGGCCCCATGTGGGGATTCCCTAGGATTCCTACTGAACGAGGCTGATGCTAGGGCTCTGAGGATGGGGTAATGACAGTAATAGCGAAGGCTATTGAGCTCTTCCTATATGCTCAATCTTGCTCTAAGTGTTTTATTCACAATTTATTTAATCTTCATAACACCGCTGTGATGTCAAAAGTGGAGAAATGAGCACAGGAAGTTGCCAGCTGGTTGATCAGAGATGAGGCCAGAAGTCAAATCATGACAGTCTGGTTCCAAAGCCCACGCAGCGGCCATTACTTTATCCTGCCTAAGGGGCAAAAATATAAAACCAGACAACCACGTAGCTGTTTCTCATTTGTTTATTCATCCATCAGACTTCTACAATGATGAACTTTCTAGGTGTCATGCTAGGCAAAGAAATGGAGATGGGGAGAGAAGGGAAAATTTGGCCATTATGGACACAATCGGTGACTGATGGAGATGAGGAAGCAATAGGACTATAAACTCTTGCAACCATTTTGGAAAGCTGTTTAGCAGTAACTACTAAAGACTAACATATATGTAGCTTATGACCCCTGGCTCTAGTCCATGGTATATACCCTGAAGGGTATACATACATTCAACAAAAAATTTACAACAAGGTTCACAGTAACACTATTCATATTAGCCCCCAAAGGAGAACAAATCAAAATGTCCACCAACAGTAAAATAAATAAATCAGTGTAGGTGCATATAATGGAATACTATATCATGAAAATGACTAAAAAATTGCAATATACAATGACAACAAAAGAGTCTAAGAAAAAAAGCCAGAGTGGGTGATTTGATGTACATGAAATGTAGAAAAGCAGGCAAGCAAGCAAATTGAATCTGTTGGGAAGTCCAGACAATAATTCCCTCTGGGAGGAAGGTGGAACTGGTGATGGAGAGGGTGTTTCCGGGTGCTGTTAATTTCTCCATCTGCTGGATGATTTTGTTTTTTGCTGTTTCATTAAGCTATGGACCTATATGATACTGTGCTTTTCCTTGTATTTGCCATATAACAATTAAATGTTTATAAGAAACATGATAGGAAGCAGTTGTTTAGCCTAGCACTTAAGTTGCCCACATCCATATTGGAGTACCTGGGTTCAGTATATGGTTCCAGCTCCTGAGCTCCCCTCCTGTGCAGACTGTGGAGCTCAGCAGTGATGGCTAAATTCGCTGGGGACCTCCCAGCCATGTGGGAGACCTAGATGGTGTTCCCAGCTCCCAGCTGCACCCTGCCCCTGCCCTGGCAGTTGTAGGCATTTGGGGAGTGAACCAGCAGATGGAAGATCTCTCTTTATCTCTCTGTCTCTCTGCTTTTCAAATAAAAAAGTAAATATTATGTGATATGCTAAAAGCAGGATGTCATGGAAACACATGGGAGGGACACCTTACCCAACCTGGGGGTGAGGCAAAGGAGCAATGTTTTCAGATAGAAAACCGGGTTTAGGAAAGAGGTGCTGAGGGAGGCCTGGGGCACCCAAGCCGGCTGTGGAGGAGGAACAGAGTCCTGAGAATGAGGTGGAAAGAAGGGGCACCCCAGGTGGGGTCGGTGGCAGTGGGGACCACTAGCATCAGTACAACGAATGGGATGTTGGCACTAGGAAGGAACTCAGCAGACCATGGTTGGAAACCTGGTTTTGGACAAGTGGTAACTCAAAACCTCTCCTAACTTCAGTTCTTCAGTTTCTTCCTGGGAGGGTGGGGGAGGAACACATCCGGAGCCTTTCTCTTCACAGTTATCCATGAGACAAAACCAAAGGAAACTGGAATTCAAAGAATGCTGTTTATTTCTTCCGTCCCCACCTGTTGCCTTTTCCAATTTCCCTTCCTCTTTACTAGATTCTCTGGGGAAGATCCTAAAAGGCAACGGGAAATAATTTTCAACAGGGAGATGGACTGTGTCATTCATGTTCTTAAAATCACATGCAGGGGAAATTTAGACTTCACGAGGCAGCAAAGAGAAGCAAGCGGCTGGAGGTTTTCTCTGAAAAGAGCAAGGCAATGAGAAAGAACTTGTGGTGGCTCTTGCTAAGGGATGTGAGAGTTCAGAGACCTTTGGAACAAGACAAAGGAAGAATCCACTTAAGAGACTTCAGAAAGACACCCCAGAGGTGGCAGGTGAGAAATGGGCCCAGAAGAGATGATATGAAGGTCCCTAAATCAATGCAACTGAGTGGGTTACTGGGAATGGAGGGAGGAAAAGATGAATCCAAAGCAAAGCGCATTTAATGCCATTTATTTCTTCAATGTCATTGACTTAACTTACTGAAGAAGTTGACACAGCTGGGATAATGGTGTCCAGGATGAAGGCCATCCACCAGCTTCTTCAGCATCCTCAGGATATAATGCGCTAGGAATCAATAATCAATCCACTTAATTGGCAAGGCAAGATGTTACACTGTCATCAATCTCTACCCCATCCTGTTAAGTAATTTCTCTCCTCATCCATCCTTTGAGCCTTGTATTGGGAGAATAATAGTGTTAGCACCTTAGCTGGTATCAATCGGAGCAATACTACTGTTTAAAAAAACACAAACACACACACATTTAAGGTGGTATGTGATACAGCGGTTAAAATACAGGCTAGGACTCCCCCCTCCCCCCCATCAGATGGAGTGCCTGGTTCAGGCCCTGTATACTCA